CCTCCAATTGTTTATAAATACTTCACATGCTCATCTTTATTTTTCTCCATCCCAACATTCACTTGAGAAACAAAAGAAAGAGCAAATTCCCATGAGCACTGCTGCCAGAGACTCTGGCATGCAGAGGTGACCAGGGCCTTGGGTTATTTAAAGCGCATGGCTCTATGGCACCTTGGCATGCGACAGGAATACAAACTGCACAGAACCCCCCTGGTACCTCAGAGCACCTTAAAAAGAACCAGCATTCAACCACTCTCTGCGCCCAGGCCTGCCTTCACCATGGCAGTTCCACACCACTCAAGGGAAAACAAGAGGAACGTGCTTAGCCAGATTGCTGATATTTACAAAACCGAACCAAAACGACATACAGGCAGTCCTCGACTTACGAACGGGTTACGTTCCGAACACCTGGTCGTAACTCAATTTGGTCCTAAGTCGGAAATACCCTTAAACGCGCTGCCCACGCTGTTCGAAAAACTTGACGTACATGGTTCTCAACTCGAAAATATTATAATGGGGTTAACGGGAGGTTAATCGTAAGTACGGATGGTCGTAAGTCGGTGTGTTTGTAAGTCGGGGAGTGGGGCTGTATTACAGAAGTGTCTCAGCTAGTTCTCCACCAGGTTTGCTGATGGCGGCTTTCCCAAGTCCACCGCCTGAGGGGGACAACAGCTGAATTTCTCTGTCAGTCCTGTGCTCTGGTAACATTTAGGAATCAGCACATGAAGCTAAATATTCATCCACACAGCCAGTCTCAGTGATGGTCAAATGCCTAGAGGGTCTCAGGCGGCTTGTAGCTCACCACTTCCAAGTACATCATCTTCCCAACTCCTCCCCACATTGGAAGGAAGGGGTGTGTTCGTTTTCAGCCCAGTTTTAGCGTTCCTGACTAGCAAACGTGTGCAGATGTTGTGCAAGCTCAAGATGTTGTGCCGTGTGCAGATGTTGTGCAAGCTCTCCCTACACATCTCCGCCCAAGCCTGGGTCAGGAATGGCTGTGATTTTCCAGTCTGTATTTCTCATGAGTAACAACTGCTACGAATGACACCGTGTTTAGTGGCTGGGCATTGTGACTAAATGCCCGCCAAGAACTACACTGTAGTTCCGACAATCCTGGGACTGACAATCCTGAGGACCGGGGTTCCCGCTCAGCGCACTGCAAGGCTTCCCTACCATGACCCGTTACACCGAGTTTCCCCTCGGAGAAGTGGGAGAACCGTCCGTTCTTCTTGGCCTAGTCAATCCATGGCTCAGGGCTGGACCACAGGTCGGTGATACGGTTTGCTCCAATATACACAGGCAAGACCAAACTGTGCTCCAGCCTGGGCAGGACACTCTCAGGTTGTAATGGGACCTCTGCTCATGTGACAAAAAATGCTGGGAGATGAACCCCCCAGCGCAAAGCGCAGACACAACGGGGCGCCGAGGAGCAGCATTACAGGAGAAGCAGCCTGGATTCAAACACCAATAATCACCAGGCTCGTATGTGCCAACTTCTCTAGATGGGGGGCGCTCAACCCTCTCCCTTCTGCTCCACCCCTTCCCCCAAGGCTCCGCCCCCAAGTGCGCACACGTCCTCCCTTCCCTTCCTCCCTCCCAGAGCAGCCGAATACTGCGAAATTGCTGGTTAGCGGACATGAGGGAGGGGAGGGGTTGTTTATAGTGGGGCCAGGAGTGAGTGGGAGGCACTCGGGAGCGGGAGGAAGGTGCTTGGCTACCAGTGGGTGCAGAGCACCTGCTAATTTTTCTCCATGGGTGCTTCCAGCCCAGAGCACCCAAGGGCATCAGCATCTTATTACAAGGATCCTTTTCTCAGGGCTCCCTTTTTGCCAGCATGATCTCCCTGGCTCCAGGCAGGACATATTAAGGTCAGAGTACAGGAACGCACAGCACTAAAGTGACAATTTTGGTTGGAAAACCTGACGTTGCTTTCGACTCCCCTCATAGCTGTGATTCTGCTGTATGCTTCATGCCAACAACAGCGTCATGTATTTTCAATCGGGAACGAAAGGCCTATGGAGGAAAACTAATTGTGGAAAGGAGGGGGCTGGAAAGACACAGATGCAAGAGAATATTTTATCGCTGAAACAACAAAAGAAGTAGTTTCAGAATACTAAAGAAGAGAGGGAATGAATCGATGTTGGGCTGAAGCTACTGGCTGCCTGGATTTTGCTGGTAAGATGGTGCAGGAGGAGAGCTGGTTTCCTTCTTCCCAATACGTGTAGCTTTCTTCATATTGTCGCCTCATAGAAAAACAAAAAAGTCCTCCCAAACCAGCATGCAGGCACACAGATGCCCGCTAAAAAAAGACAGCCCGTCTTCCACCGCATCCCAACGTGCTGCCAGCACCCTCCAATCACATGAAGCCAGAGGGAGGAAAGCAGATCATGTAACTCCAGAACAGTGTTAAACACTTTGCTAATATGTTGTCTGTGCTGTACCTGAGAACAATATTAATATTCAGCGTCAATAACAGCTCCCTCCTTCGCATCTGGTACTTGTGAATAATAAAGGTACATGACCAGAACGTGTGCGGGGGGGTAGACAGGAAAGTTAGCGCTTGCATACAGTAAACCCTTCCAATGAGGGGGAAAGGACTAGAGCACACCAACTGTGCAGCTGTGTAAAATTATCCCTAGGGAATACCTACCTGGAACATCTGTACTGATCACAACATGCCACTGCTCTTTTGCTAGAAGTGTTTGTGAGAACAGTTAGATTTTCTCCCTCCCCCTCCCCTGCCGCCCCAGAGGAAGCCACTAGGAGAAAGCGTTTGAAAACAGGAGCCATGGCTTTTGCCTGGAGGGCAGCTGTACCACCTGCCCTCGTGAGACAGCAGTTAGAAACGTGACCAATGTGAGGATCTTCTCCTGGCTTTTCCCCCCCCCCCC